CCTTCATGGCCGACTTGACCGAACCACAACCCAGCCGCGGTGTACCTTCGGGCCAGGCCATGTTCGCCGACGAGCTCGAACCTGTCGAGACCTCTGTTGAGGCGCAAGATCTTCTCGAACTTCGTGCTGCCAAGAAAAAGAAGAAGGAGGTTGCCACTGTCGACCACGATAAAGTTGAGTACGAGCCGTTCCGAAAATCTTTTTACACTGAGCCGCTCGAGGTTTCTCAGATGACGCCAGAAGAAGTTGCCGATCTCCGTCATGAGCTTGACGGCATCAAAGTGAAGCCAGATGATGTGCCTCGTCCCGTCACTAAGTGGGCCCAGATGGGCTTGCTGCAAGCAACCATGGACGTCTTCACTCGCGTAGGCTACCTGAAGCCCACATCTATCCAGGCACAAGCTGCTCCTATTTCTCTTTCTGGACGTGACCTCATCGGTGTCGCAAAAACTGGTTCTGGAAAGACACTCGCGTTCGGTATACCAATGATTCGTCATATTCTTGATCAACGTCCACTAAAGCCGTCTGACGGTCCCATTGGACTGATCCTTGCTCCCACTCGAGAGTTGTCATTGCAGATTGTCCATGAGCTCAAACCGTTCCTCTCAGCTTCTGGCATAACTATCAAATGCGCTTACGGTGGACAGCCCATCTCCGACCAGATTGCTATGATTAAGCGTGGTGGCATACACATTCTCTGTGGAACACCCGGTCGCCTGATCGATTTGATGACTGCAAACCAGGGGCGTGTGCTCTCCTTCCGCCGCATTACCTATGTTGTTCTTGATGAGGCTGATCGCATGTTCGACATGGGTTTTGAACCACAAGTCATGAAGATTCTTGCAAATGTGCGCCCCGACCGTCAAACTGTGCTATTTTCAGCAACCATGCCAAAGAACATGGTTGCATTGGCCCGTAAAGCCCTGAACAATCCAGCAGAAGTGACAATTGGTGGTAGATCCAAAGTGGCCCCTGAGATTACCCAGATCATATCCATTGTTCCTAATAGTTATGAGAAGAAGATCAACAAGTTGCTCTTGCATCTTGGTCAGCTCTTCTCTGAGGACGAAAATGCACAAGTATTGATTTTCACGGAGCGGCAGGAAACTGCGGAAGATTTATTGTCCAAGCTCTACAAGGCCAAGTATTTCTCTGTTAACACAATTCACGGAGCTAAAGATCAGACTGATCGAAACGAAGCGATCAGTGATTTCAAGCAGGGTGTTCTTTCTATTCTCATTGCCACGTCTGTAGCAGCACGTGGTCTTGACGTCCCCGGTCTGGCACTCGTCTTGAACTTTGACTGCCCAACTCACTGTAAGTACCAACTTCGTCCTTGCATATATGTAGTATCCATTTGCTAACATACTCGATAGTGGAAGATTACGTTCATAGGTGCGGTCGTACTGGTCGTGCGGGTAACAAGGGTACTGCCATTACTCTTATTGAGAACCCCGGTCAAGAGCGCTTCGCTATCCATGTTGTCAAAGCACTAAAGGAGAGCGGAGCAGAAGTCCCTGAAAAGCTTCAAGAAATGGCAGATACCTTCCATGAGAAGGCCAAGGCAGGTACCGAAAAATACTATGGCGGCTTCGGTGGCAAAGGTCTCGATCGACTTGATGCAACTCGTGCTCTTGAGAAGAAGCGCGAGAAGCGTCAGCTTAAGCTGGAAGGTATTGAAGACAGCGATGAAGAAGAAGAGATTCTGCCAATTGTTAAGAAACCCGAGGTTACTGGTCCTGGCGCTGTCAAGGCTGCTGAAGGAACTACACCTGCTGCTGAAGTCGAGGATCAACCTCACTGGATGAAGCTACTCAACAGCAAGATTGTTGTCAATAAGACCGAGCGCCCCGAGGCTGCTGCGACTGGCAAGCCGATGAGTGCAAGGGAGCGGGCGATGGCCGCTGCCTCCAAGGTCGACGGTAGGCTCAGCAAGAAGGGCATGATCCACGCGGGCCAGCCCATCGACAACAAGGGTCCTGACGCTGGTCTCTACCATTCAACTATTGAGATCAACGACTTCCCCCAGAAAGCTCGATGGGCCGTCACCAATCGAACCAATGTCGCCAAGATTCTCGATCAGACTGGTGTCTCGATTACGACAAAGGGTAACTTTTACCCACCTGGCAAGCAGCCTGGTGAGAATGATCTTCCCAAGCTGTACATCCTGGTTGAGGGAGATACGGAGAATATTGTCACACAGGCTATGATGGAACTCACCCGCCTCCTGCGCGAAGGTACAATTGCGGCAGAAGATGCATCTACGACTCGTACCGCCACTGGTCGATATAGCGTTGTTTGAGACTCCTCTACCCGTTGAGAATTCTCTTGCATGCGCATCCTTCTTCTCATACGATTTCCACAGCTGTCACACCGCCACTACGAGTGTCGGACATTGTTGTGGCTTGCTTGTTTCTTCTTGTCCAGGATGGGTGAGGACGGACACTGCATTCGGAAACGGAATTGAACATGTCAACAAAGCACGCTTTCAGAGCATTCAAATGGGGTTTCGGCAAACAGGAACCTAGGACCGTCTTCAAAACATGAGTGTGGATCCAATGCCGACTCACCCTCTTCTTTGATTTACACCACCTCGTCGCAGGTCTATTTTGAGCCTCAGCCTCAGCCTCCTTCCCGCTTGACCGATCATATCATAATCGGGTCCTACAGAAACGGCGTCTTTTGTACATTAAGAAAAATAAGTTTGCACCTGCGTTTCACTTCCTTGCATAGCAGCAATGGCTATCAGAGAAGAGGCAGCAGGCTCTCAATTCTACGTAGGGGTGAGGCTTCCTTTGCATGGACGCACACAACTTCAGTGTCTTTTTAAAAATGCATATAAATTGAAACTAGAATAATTCTCTTCAACGAATGCATAGCAGTCGAGTTCTCTTTGCCGCTGTAACCTCTGATCGTATCACTGAATTCCTATCTCTACCACACTCTAGGTATTTGGTATCACAAACTCCTCAAGATATCGCCATCTCACATGTCAGATTGTCCAAGAAGCCTCTTCCCGTGCGCACGTACGTGCAACTCGTTCTAGAACCTACAATGGCAACTCTTGCGTGGTCACCGGCCTTTGCTGCCGTCCACCGGTACCCACTTACACCCTCTCTTTTCACGACTGACGAATCGGAAGCGTACCAGCCCTGACACTATGCCTTTTGCAGCAAACACAGCCAACATTCATGCATACCAGCGAGTAAGCCCTAGCTGGAGAAGTTAAAAATCCTGCATGCATTAAGTTTCCACACGCCGTTTTGCTTGTTCCAGGCACAAGGGTGGCGGAGCCCAAAAATGCTATATGAAGGCATGCGTGCAGTGGTGGCAAAAAAGGTGACAACATCCTGCGCAGGCGAGGGGAGGCGAGGGGAGGCGGGAAGCGAGAAAAGCAAATGTACCTCAGGACACCGTGCGTGCGGTAAACCATGGGAATTGGTCACGTTGGGTACTCGTTTGCCGTCTTGCTTTGCGGCACATGCATGATCCACGCCGCCATAGCCCTGGTACCTAGGCTGAATTTGGATATCCCTTTGCTGGTTGGGCTTTGCTTCGGGTGCAGGCCAAGGCGCGCGGGGGCTGAGGTTCCTTTACCCCAATTTCAGGGCCAAGACGAGCAGGAAAAGATGGTAGGGACATGGTAGAGGCGTATGGGGAAAAGTTTAATTTCACGGCCATGCGGGCGCGTTGGATGGTGGTTGGTGGATTGTGGGAGGTTTAGACCAGCCACAGAAAGGGGTTTTCGCTTCGGCTATACCGTACGATTTGTGTATCCTGCTGAAGCTTTGTCTTATCGAGCTTCTAGAATCTTGAGTGTACTGATCGCGGGGGAGGGGTTCTTTTCTGGTTTAGCTCAGGCGTTGGAGGTATCCCTGTGCGATCAAGCGTTCGACATCGCCTTGGCGGACGTAGAATTGCGAGTTTTTGGTCAGGGTTATTGAACTGTGCAATTTCATTGGTTAGTTAGCTTATTGGTTGTTGTTCCTGCCGTGTTTCGGCATGCCGAAGTTCATCAAGGGGTGACTATACGTACCCGTACTCGGTCTGTATCTCACCGGCATCCTTGAGCACTCGGACGTCAATGAAGAGATCGCGTGGCGGCTCCAGGCTCCCTGTTAGATCGATATCCGTCCATTGGCCCTTGTATGCCGCGAGAAGGTCACTGTACTGTCTTACGTATTCCTCCTCTTCTGGGCTCAGACTACTCTCCTCTCTCCCGCCCCCGGTACCTAGGGTGCTTCCCCTCGTGGCTTCTGCGGCGTGGTCTTTGCTACCCTGTTGCTCAAGCACATCAATTCCCTCCCAACAGTACTCTTCTAACTTATCACTGCGGACCCGGTGGTAGGCCAACAGACATCGCTTGTTGCGGCGCATGCAGAGGTGGTTGACAAGGAGTGCGCAAGCGGTTTCGGGTGAGGCGCTGGGATTGAAGGAGCCACTGTAAGGAGCGAGAATAGAGGATACGTCCTTATCCAGGTCGCGTACCTCGCGTACAATAGAGCGTGTAAGTTCCGAGGCGTAGGGCGGGAGGTGAGGAAGGGCGAGGGTGCGCTTTGCGTTTTGGACCTGGCTTTTTCTTAGACGTGACCAAATCATGGGGTACCAAGGGTATCGCTACCAGCTTGTTTGCTGCTTCGCCGTACATGACTGAGGTATGTGAGTGTGTGCGTGTGCTGTTGGTAAGTTTAGGATATCGTGAGTAATGGCGACTTTTTGCCCAGGGTGCTATGCTATATTCGAGTTGCACGACGAGAAACTCTTTTCAGGCATATGGCAATCCCACTAATGGTGCAGAGGCAAGTTTCTGGATTGCTGTGAAGAATGCATCTGTACTAGCATATCATGAGGAAGTGTTCAATTCGTGGATGGTTGTCCGACCCCTCATTGGTAGAAGAGTAAAGCGCGTCCGCGTTGGAGACAGGGGTGCATGGGTGGGGCAGAGACGGCAATAACAAGTCTTGGCATTGTCAAGTACAACCTCACTCTTCTGGCAATCCCTTGCACACCATCATCTGCCTACGCACCCTCACTCGCCAGATTCTACACAGGCCACCCGGAAAGATGCGCTTCATTACTATCATCACATAAAATTAAGTCCGAGGAGTTTCGGCAATCGCGGTATCACGTCCGTAACATTGAGCAAAGCATGGCCACAGGAACATGAAGCTCTACTGGCTCTTTTCGTCTACCCATAGCCAAATCATATCTAATGTGCTCCAATTTCCGGAGCTTTTAACAAAAAGACACCATGTATGCTACTGGTGGTGTACGTAGTAAGAGTTCACCAGGCGCCATTCTACCCCAACCAAGAGAATGGGTATCACCACGTGAAAGCTGAATCGTACATCATACTGCATAGAAGCAACCAAAACACTCGTACAGACATAAGCTGAAACACACTAAATCATTGCTCACCCACCCATTTGTCGAACTCAGACTCTTGCTCCAAAGACACCATGGTCGGATCAGACTGCCAAGCTTGATACTCGTCATGCGGAAGATCCAGCAAGTTGTCGAGGTCGTGATACGATAGCGCTTCTTGTATGCTGATCTGGTTGTTTCGGAAGTTGTTGGATTGGAGAGATGCTGGATCAACACTGGACTGACTGCCTCCGTATGCCAATAGCATCGGATCCAACTGTCCCTCGTCAAAGGGAGTTCTCACGTGTGGATGAAGTTGCTGGAGCAAGTCGTCCGCGCTGCCCCCGGGCAAGCCAAGCATCGATGGGTTCGATTGGAAATGGTTGGAAAGCGTCGAGGTACTCAACGGCTTATGCAGGTCATCTGTGTAGTTCGGGCTCATGTGCATGTTCGCATACGGTGCAGCGTGGTAAGGCCAGTTGTAAAGATCGTTGTGGCTCATCGGTATTGGCATCGGCATCGGCATAGGTCGTCCTTCATTCGTCATCTCCCATGAGGATCTGTTGACACCGTTCGCGTTTGGCCCGAATGCTCCGTCAAAGTATTCTGCGCCGACCCCACTTGATGGGTAACTGATCGAGCGTTCGATGCGTCTAGTTTGCCGAGGGCGTGACCTTCTTGCACCTGGAGCCCACTCGGTATCGTCTAAATCGCTAGGTTCCTCCTCGTCTGACCATTCGTTCCTTCGCTTCCGAGCTGGAGCGGCCGTCTTGCTCGGCGAAAATTTGTACATCGGGTGCGCATTCTGATGGTTGATTCTTTCGAGCTTTGCATATTCGCTGTAGAGGTCGCGGATCTCTGGCGGCTCAAGAGGCCAGCTTTCCCCGGCTACCGACGACACAACTTGATGGTTGTTTTGCAAGCACCATGATTTGGCTCTTTCTGCGAATGCAGATCTGTACAGCATAAATGAGTTCATTGGACGAGCAATGTATCCATTCCGCTTTTCTGCTTCTTGCCTTCGAACATCCGCCGGCCTGTTGACCCACTCTTCCATGTTTTTGATCGGAATGTTGTGCAGTTCTTTTGTTAATACACTCAGTGGCGCAGTCAGCTTGGGTATTCTCTGCCTGTCTCCCTTTGCTGTTTTCGCTTTCTTGGATCTTGGTATTGCTTTTGGTCTTAGGCTAATCTGGGTTTCTTTTGGAGATGTGGATGCAGTCATTGTTCTTCTGCTACGGATCGCCGCCCGACTAGATTCATCGCCGTTGGCAGATCTTGGTGTTAGCGGAGAAAACAAGACCTGATCGTTCTAATATTCATTAGCCATTTCGCCACCGACTCTGCCTGAGACTCACTTACCGATATGCGGCTATGAGAGCCGTTGGGAGAAAACTCTGTCGGAGGTCCATAACCGTCCTGGGGGTTGATCAGCATTTTAATGAGCATGAGAATCTAGGTTTGCTCACGTATTGTAGGCCTACTAGTCCAAGCCCGCGAATGTGGTCGTCGCCATGTGACGCATGCGAAGGGATGCCTTGGTGCGCCACCGAGCTTGGGGAACCATACCCTGCCTCACCGAATGAACATCCGCGGTCTACGTTGTATTCGGCAACTTGGTGAAGTCCGACTTGGTACTCTGCCCCAGCATTCGGCGGGGTGGGAGGATGTTGTTGGGTGAGCGAATCACCCCTCATCGTAACGAGAATCAGCGCACAATGGAGTTGGTCGCTGCGACAGTGGAGATTACGGCCGGACGCGCTGTTCTCTCTACCGCTTTGTCTTCGCCTCCTGACTCAGTGCCTTACCAGAAGTGACTGCGACGATTTTCCAAGGTGGTAATCTAGTAGCAGGTCGAAAATATGTCTCTGCACTGCAGGCGAAGTGTTTCAGCAACTGAGGACGGTGGCTGAGACGTTGTCTCTGATCTCTGGTCTTGTATTTCTCAAAGCCTCTCCAGCCAAATTGTCGTTTTACAAATGTGTTGCTGCATACAAGTCAGCAAATACAGCTAAAATCTTGCTTCATGTCAGGTTTGCTATGTCGCGACGACGCATAGCAGTCCGCAAAGCGTTCAGGGGACGAACCTATTGCAGTTACCCGTTTCTCACCGGCCCCAATGCTTTGGTATGTGTACAAGCAAATTTGACAACTACAAGACGCCAAATTATAGGAAAGGTATGCAACTAGAGTACCGGAGCTGTGTTTTCCTGGTCTGCTACACTTTGTGGTGATGGCGGAGGAGCTAGAACAAGGTGTGAAGGGCGGATCAATCAAAGAGAATCCTTTGTCCAGGGTCAGTCATAAGATGATATTTGTAGCGAACTACTCAATCTCGAGTTCTACTGTTCACTTACACTGTGGTGTATCTGCGTCTCAGCGTGGACAAAGAGACTACCGGATTGGTAATGGCTGGGTACGCTTGCCGCACTAAGGAGCCGCGCTGTTTTTGTACTATTAGCCTCCCCACTGATTCAACACATACCTGATGGCGCAAACTTAGCCCTCTGGTCCGTTCACGTTTCGAAGCTCAGTAACTCGCCTTTTTGCTCTCCAGTGGTGTGGGAAACGGCCCTCAGCCCCTCCACCATGATAGCTCTGGGCGGAAGCTACGCCTGATTAGGACGCCCTTTCGCAAGATTCACCCAGCCTCAGTGAGTGTTTACCAGTTTTGACAAGGATCCAACATGGCTTGCAGCAGTCATGTGCCCTTGGCGTTCACCATCGTAAGCCACATTCACTGGTATCTTTAGCTATTGGTACCCCCTTGGGGAATTGTGATCAATCAGATCAAGGGCTACTCGTCAAACACCAATTACAGCTCTGATGCTAACGGTCCTTCCTCTTTCGAAATCAGTATCGTAGGAGGTACTGGATCTCAGCCTTCTTACAGGTTCAGATTGATTGGCCGAAATACATCTGGTCCTTCCTCCACTAAGCAGCTCGATTTAGCGTCCTTCTTACGGATGGCTGCATATCATATATGCCAGAACCCTGACAGCTGGTCATGCTTGGAAGGACTAGCCATAACACCGTAATTTCTAAAGTCTATCATGCGGGCTCACATGCATCTATGCAATCAGTTCGTGGGAAAACCCGGAACTAGCTGGTACTCAAACATGATACATCTGTTGACTTTGGCATTTGCAGCAGGTGGACAAAGGACCAAATGGCATCCCGACACGTCGGTTACGGTGCGCCACTACAGCAAGGCTGAGCAGCCCGTTGACCGCTTAAACCAAGAATAATCCCGTCAACCCTGTCCGTTCGCGGCTGGTTAGTTCAGCGTGGACGAATTTTGAGGCAGGTCTATTCGGGGAACCTGGTCCTCAATATCTCTAAACGACAAGCAGTGGACAGCTCAGCAAGGCCCTGCACACCGGATGCATGCAGCAAAAAGTTCGGTTACTTCCGGTCGATCGTGTTGATATGCGTGTCCTGTAGACCCCCTTCCGGAATGCATGCTAGGACCATTTTGGTATGTCAACCAAACAGTCTCAACTTTGTGTAACCCCGTTTGAACGACCCTTAAAGGCAGTTTCAATTGGTCTGAGCAAGCGCGAAACACATGTGGATCCCATCACTACCGACATCACGGTGGATCAGGGGGTTCGGTGTAGTTTGTGAAATTTGGACATGTCTGTTTTGGCCGGTACACCCGGAACAACAGCAGATAAGCTACGATGACGGTTGTAGTTCCGTCAAAGTATTCCAAGGGTACACGTCAGCCAGCTCGATCAGTGATGGATCACTGCTAGGGATATCACTTTGTGTTACCACTGTCAAATGTTAAACTCTCGCTGTAGAAAGGGACCTATAGGCACATATGAATCTAGGCGACTTCATCGCTGTCAACGACCACCTACTGTGCCCTCATCCTGACTTCAACTCACTCAAGCCAGCGATATTCTCATCGCTAGCCAGAAGTCACTGCCGAGCCACCAGTCCGCGTTTTGAGACCCCGATGCCACGAGGGTGTCAGTAAGGCTTGCAGTATATGCACTGCTGGCTGTTCGTGACGAGCCCTGTGCGTATCTCACGTGCTCATTTCAATGGTTATATTTTTATAATTTGATTGGCTGTAAGAGATAGTAACGAATGGAAAGCCAGCAATTGTGGTCTCCACGGCAGCCAACGATCAGTGTGGTCCCCCTACTTCATGTGAGAGGGTTTCGACGGTTTACTTGCCCCACTTGACCACAATCATTACCACGGAACGTTTCCATGGCACAGAAGTGCCGTCGACAGTCTATTCGTCGTCACCAACACATTTTGGGGCACTACGGCCTCTAGGCTCCAGCAGCGGTCGCCTTCTGCCTGCAGAATAACAGCGACCGCGTTAAGCGACATGATTGGACCTTGTAGGCAACACAACAGCCCCCACTTCCAGGGTTCTCTTCTGTATCTGGACATGCGCCTTCGACTCGACCAGCTTGGCATCGGGACGCTAACAGAGACCCTCGCAAGTAGGTCAACGGTTGCGGTTGAATCAAGAAACTATGCCGTGAGGTTTCTGCTCGGGGCTCCCGCTGATTACTGTGGGACCCGAATGCAACAATCGCACCATTCTCGAGCCAAGCACTTAGCAACTGGTAACCACTAACTGCTTGAAGTCGCCTCAGGCGACCGGATCCGCTCAATAATTCAGTCAACTGAGAGTCCTCCGGGAGTACGGCTGTTTGGGCTGTCGCAATGGGTAGCTGTCGAATATCCGATCACGACGATGGAAGAAAATTCTCCGGACAACGACATACTTACATCGGATCTTTGGTTACGCTGAGCCGAGCGAGTGAAGATAGGAGCGCACCCTGTCAGCAAGGACATGTCACAACATTTCAAGCTCAGCCAATCCTCGATCTGCGTTCAGCGAGGAGGAGGAGGAGCAACAACCAACAAATCATGTCAGTCTGGAAATTCTAGCCACTGTCCCCCTACTATCTTCGCCCACCAGTGGACCTTTTGACTTTCTGATGTCCGATTTCCTATGTTCATCTTTTACGCATACTGGACTCTTTTCCGGTCTTCACAGCGTGCCATTCTTGATCACACTTAAAGCCGACCAAGATGGTATTCAGAGCAATAGGACTTAATAATGGCGCCTTTCTAAGTTCAGTCAGCTAGGCCTGTAATACACTATTCTGTGGATTTGGTGGCGCGCTGGCACGACGTACCACTTGAACCGAACTTTTCTAGCTTGCATTTGTCGAGTGCCTACCGCAAGAGGTCCCAGACTTGATATGGGAAATGTTGCTTCTTTAGGCCTAGAGGATGGAAGTAATATACCTTCTCAGGCCGCAACGATCGTGATCACATTGACTTTAGCAAGTACTCTGTGCGCAGGCTGAAAACGGCTTGAAAGCGAATGTCGCGTCTCGAGTGGACAATAAGTCAGATCCAAGGTACCAAACATATACGTCAGAAAGAGCAGAATTCTTGGCGGGTAATGTGTCATGATTGTGGTTCTCGAAAGGCCATCAGAAATTGGAGCACCCCCTTTTCCTCTAAGCTGTCAGACTCCATGGGCTTGCACCAAACAAACCAATAAGGAATAGCGTGGCATTCCGGATAGAGTCATATCTTTGAGGCTCACCTGAGTTCACTACGTAATCTGTCGATCGTTGGTTTTTCTGAAAGGGCTTTGAAACAAAACCACGGAAACAATGAACCAGCCACATTAAACTAGTCATGGCGAAGAGTTTCTCTACATTCACAGGCTGGGTAATCCGTATTCATCTCACAGATTGACTTGCATTGGCGAAAACCCCAGAGAACTATGTCGAACAATAACGGTCCCGAGAAGGATGTCTCCTTGTACGAAGATGAGACCACAAATTCGTCAAACCTTGGCAAGGAAGTGATGCGAAGGCGACCAACCCTACTGGGCCGTATAGAAGAAACTATAGGGGCTACTTCACCCCTCTCATTGCCACCGGAAGGAGCAAATGCGACAGATGGCGAAGCATATCGGGATGAAATTGCATTTGGCATAGAAAGTCCATTCAGTATGCTCGATGAAACTGATTACAGAAAGGATCTGAACTATCCGAAGCCCCAATCACGGAATAGTCCATCCAGCTATTTTGCACCTACAAGATCGTCCCAAGCGAAGAAACATAACAGAATTGAGCCTTTCGGTCGCCAGGGCAGTCCTTTACTTCGGACGTCCTCCATGCATAACACACGGCCAATGTCTCCTCTGGCACGCAATAACAGTGCTCTCAGAAACCACGGGAATGATAACACTGAAAGTGGACACATGTCTCACTCGGTGACTGAACAAAGGGGTGAAGCTCATAAAATGCCAGGCGCCACCTTTAATTCGACAGACAGCCCAAGATTTTATGAGAATAACATGACCAACATATTTGGTGGTTGGGACAAGGTAAAAGATGCAGACTTGGGAGAGTCATCAAGAGTGGACGTATATGAGCGCCTAGAGAAAGAAGCAACGAAGGAACGATGCGAAGAACTGGAAAATCTTAAAGAAGAGGTTGTGAGCCTACGTCAGCGTAACTACGAGCTAGTAGCTCAGAATGGGAATCTCAAAGCTTTTAGCGTGGAGCATGACAAGGCCATAGAAGATAAACTAAAGTCTTGCCAGTCCGAATCAGAAACATTGAAGCAAAACTACGATGCCCTCTCCACTAAATGTCGAAAACTCGAAGACGAAGTCAAGGCCCAAACGTCACGGAATGAAGCGACAGAAACAGAGAACAAGGGGCTTCGAGCAACAGTTGTAGAAAAGCAAAATGACATTGCCAAGATGAAGACTGAGCTCAAGAAAAAAGACAATGAGTTAGTAGACATGACTCAACACGCCGCAGATATTGAAGAAGAGGCATTGCAGAGCAACAAGAAACTTACAAGGCTAGAAAAGTCAGTATGTGATATGGGCGCAGTCATCGCAAGGTGGATACAAGTATCGTTTAAGGGCACAGCCATCGACCTTAATGAACTCAATCAGGTCATACAAAATTGCGCAGATGATGCTGAGACCGAGGAAGTGCTGTTGCATGTGAGGCAGTTGGTGAAGATGTTTGTTGAGAAGAACGGAAGTCTGGAGCGTCAATTGGAGGACAGGAAATACGAAATTACCAACATCAAAAAGGCAATCGAAGAGCAATCGCACGAGGAAGTTCCACCGACTCCTGGTCTGATGCTTCCGACAAACCCGCTGTATAGCAGTGACAAAATCGAAGCTCTCTATAAAGAAGAGCGAGCAAAGCGGAAAGCCGCTGAACAAAAGCTGAAAGCCTTTACTACAGAAGACAAGCAAGATCCACATCTCCAAAAGACCCAGCAAGACCTTCACTCTCAACTAGCAGACCTCGAAGCACAAATCGCACTCCTCACCCAAGAAGCCCAAGACTCCCAGTACCTAGCTTCCGACTGGAAATCCGAACTCGCCCTCAAACAATCCGAACTCGACCTACGCACCGAAGAATTCCAATCCGCGCTCGACAAAAAAGACGAAGAAATACTCAGCTACATCTCCGCCTACCACACTTTCACCAGCAACCCTGCCATGCGCAAGCCTTCCGCGCTGCACAGCCAAATCTCAGCCCTCGAACACCAATATGCCTCACTCAAATCCTTCTCCAACCACGTCTCCAACGCCGACGCCAAAAAACGCAACATAATCACCCGTCTAGAACGCAAACTCAAACTAGCAACCACCTACACAACCGACGTACAACAAGCCGTGTACGCGCGCCGAAAACTGCCACCACCCCCCGATTACACGAGAATAGATGATGCAGAGTTTGAGTCGGAGTCGGAGCTGGATGAGGATGAGAATGGGTTGGAGATGCAGCCACCGCGGTTTGTGGCGCGGCCGAGGAAGGTGCCGCGGTATTTGATGGAGCCGGCGGTGGGGAGGAGGGGCGAGGAGGTGGAAATGTATAGGGAGGAGTTGAGGGTGAAGAGGGAGAAGGAGGTTCTTGGGTTGGTGGTTGAGGAGGAGAAGACGAGGGGGGGTGGGGAGTGAATGAGTGGGTGGTAAGGGGGGAGCAAGTGAATTTTTTTCTTTTTGGAGAAGTAAGAGAGTTTTTTATTCGAAAGAAGGTAGTAAGTGACATGTACTACGTTGGAATGAATGTATTCGCTGCTTCCCATAAGAAATCGCAATAGACATGCCATCCTCTAGCCCTATCGCCTTTGCACGTGTCACACCTTACCTTCCTTGGAAATTCATATCGCTAACAACAGTATTCCCTACATTGGTACATCCACATATCACATCAAGATGACCTACCACGATGTCCGCATAGCTTCAATCTATGGAATGCTCGCGTCGAAGTCCCACAGTATCTCGCTTATCGACCAACTTCCCAGTAACACAACATAGAGTATGCGTTCAGATACATTAAGCCAAGATATGAGCAATTTGGCGCGAGTTCTTCAACAAAGCACTATGCATTGTCACTCTGCTATAGCCAACTAACTACGCCAGCTCCATCCACGTGGAGCGGTACGTGCGCAGAAGAAATGTCACTGGTTAAGCGAGAAGAAGTTGAACGCATGTTCACGATGCTGGTTCTTTCATGGACGATAAGGAGACGTTGCGTATTACAGCGATGATCCATGTTGGGCGCGACGAGGATGCGACATGGGTTCAAGTCAATCAGCGGTAGTTTCGGGACGATCAGGGCGATGACGACATAACGCTAACGAACGTGGGGAAACATGTATTATCCGCGGCTAGCAAGGTACTTGTCTTGCGAGTCTTGTATAGGCTGTGTACGGTGGTTTACGTTCGCACCAAGTGTGTTGTTGACGATCTGGTGATACGGACGAATATCGGATAGTAGTAAGCAGGATAGTCTTGAGTGTTGGATTAGTGAACATCAATTCAGCACCACTTTGAATCATACGAAACAGGAAATGTACCTTGAGTGTAAAGATGATCAGTGTTTGGTGTGGAGTACTTTTCCGCTTAATGACCCCCACACGCGTTAATGCAAGTGTGTCCGCAAGAAGGAAGCCAACGGTCCTTTTATGCGATAAGATGTGATCCTTCTCTTGTACGACCGAGTGTTTTTGACCGCTTTAAGGATCTCTAAGCTGGGGTCTGCAACATGCCTTGAACAAATAAGGCTGATGACGAATTGTTTGCATGGGTGGTCATCGGTGTAAGCTGCAAGTATTCCCAGGTATTCCCACGTGTTCCGCCCACCCTTACTTTATTCTTCTTTTCTTCCCGTGAGAAAGCGGGATACCGACACGCTGTTCATCGGTCCTGAGCTAGCACATTATGCATATAGGATGTATGGAGTTCGGCAGGTGTGGCATGTTTGCGTTTGAGACTGCGTTTGTTGACTCCTTCTGGCTTACGCAGATAGCGGTGTATGGGTGAGATGAGTATGCGGGGAGAGTTGAGGAGGGAAAGACGGTTAATCAGAGAAAGGAAGTGATTCGTCTTGGCTTTTCTGCAAGGGTGTTGAGGTTGACATTGTTACTTCTTCTTTCGGATGCGTCCTCTGGAAGCGACGGTTGAGATGAGCTCCACTGCCCATCACCTCTTCGCTTAACTGCTTATCTCAGTCCAGCAGTTTGTATCGTCCATGACAATCCTCTCTTCTGTGTGGTGTTTATCAGAGGCCTCGGTACGAAGGAGCGAATCTCCAATTGGCTATGAGGGTGCAATGGATTACAGTGTGCATGAAAACCACCTCGCTACTCGCAGCAGCATCAACAGGTGGTTTGAACCAGCATTAGCAAACCGCCAATCGTTCTGCACGTTGGACCTTTTTCCTGGCAGACGGTTTCCCCACCAAGTCGTTTCTCCCCAGATTAACGTCTTCATAGGATTCACATTACGTGTGCACAAACAGCCACTTGGCGTACAGCACAAGGACCCTTGAGTCACATCATAGCACACGGTAGGATTTGGCCTAATAGGGTAACCTTGACGGGAGATGAGGCGCCCCAAGGGGACCGTGTCAGACAAGGCGGCTATGTGGAGCACATGAGAGCGGCTTGTTGGACCAAATGAACGTACTCAAGGGAACAGATAGCATTTGCGGAATGTAACCTAGAGGCACAGTTATTCAGGGACCGATTCTTTTCTTCGCTAGACTGGGCTGTGGACCCATGGGACTGGGATTCCAGCTCATAGGGCGGCTCGTATCATACATAGCTATGCCGTATCCGCACAATGGCCCTGTTCAGGCCTGGCGCATTGTTGCTGTATTACCAGACACGCCTCGTCTCCGATGGGCAGTAAACATGCATTATCTTGTCCTCTGAGCCATGATACAAGGTTGATGCGTCCATCTAATCTACTTTGGCCAATGGCTACGTAACTGGGACGCCTTGCCCCGCCGACCCAGACAGTGCAGAGCCTAGCATCTGCTCTGTCAGGCAGCCTGCGTCCCGCTTGAGAATCGAGACAGGCGGCAAGACAAGCGGTGCCAGCTGCCCGATCCCGGCGGCGGGGTGGTCTCAGTCTATAGGGCGTGGGGGCTGAGGTGATGCTAAGGAATCCAAGACGACAGGATACGATGACGATTGCGTCAGTCTGTGTAGCAGTAGATCGGCGATCGTAGGGCAGAGGGAGCCAGTGGACAGGTTCAGGTCGGCGAGGCAGGGTGAGGGATGTGTACAGAGTGCAGTTGTTTGCAGGTGGTTGGCAGCATGTTTGGCAGACGTTGTTTTGACAGGCGGGTGGTGGAAAAGGAAACAGAGCCGGGCCGTAGTGGAGATCCGCGAGGCGGGCCGTAGTAGAGGCGTTGTCGCGCGTGAACTGCCCGCTGCCCGCCGCCATCCGCAGCACACGACACAGGGCGCCGCAAGCCAACCCTCACCCTCCTTTGCAGCTTACTTTCTCCTCCCTGGCATGATACGGCGCCCCATTGCAACATGAGGGCTCAACTATGTGGCTTACTCGCCTCAGCACATGCCCCATGCAGGTCTCAGCCACCCTTTTGTCCAGTCCCACTCTGGAAGGCCACAGGAAGCAGCCTACGCTTCCACTGGCCCAGGGAACGCTTACCCTTGCACCATCTCTAAGAGCTGTTCGTCTTAGGGCCGCCTATGTTTAGGATGTGCATGTGGCGCGGAGCCACCCGCCCGTACTGCCAAAGCTTGGTCAAGGCAGTTGGCGGGAGGGGCGTAGAGAGAACTCTCCCACCATGACTAAGTGAACGGAGGAGTATGGGAAACAAGTGAGTGGGTGGGTGAGTGCATGGACGAGACCTGCAAGCGGATTACAGGGCATAACAGTCTCACCATGATGACTTGAAAAAACAACGGATCGAGACGACGTCGGTTGCTGCAAAGTCGACTCATACTGGCTACATTGGTACCCTGCCGCTTAGCCGAGCTGCATCGCCATCACTGCTGCCGACAGTAGCAGCAACAGCAATAGCAACAACAGCGGCAGCAATCTCGGCCAAGCGCGCAAATATGCAACCCGTCTTCACAGATCACCCCAAGCGCCAGGCCCCCCAAACAAAATGAGCTCTTCACAAACCTCGTCAATCAAATCGCCCCATCTGCCGAGGCAACCCAACCAGACCCAAACTGCTGGGTAAAACCCACAATCAAGTCCTACGACCACTGTTTCAACCCATGGCTACGTGTTCGTTAATTTGCATACACATCAAAAAAAATAGTCGGACGCCTGAATCTCAGTGGGGCGGCCCCATTTTACTCCCCCAATCCTCCTTTTTCCTTCCTAGGAGAAACAAAATAATAATCATGTACAGTAATAATAATCGTTTGCATACGTACATTTCCTAAATCTAACCATTCCCGCTTGAAGGAGATAGAAAGAAAAAAACAGGGTCCTAATCCCCTCGACATGTCCCCCCCCCCCCNCCCCCCGACCAAGTACTAAGCCAGTGAACGAATACTAGTAAAAAGACCCCTCCCCGCAAAAAAATAAAACAGTGGAGCCCCATACCCTTCTTTTTTGCCCCTATCTTCCCCAATCCGTCACTTTTCCATACAGTGAATTAGTATACGCAATACAATCTAGCCTGGACCCCTTTTTTTTCCCGCTTCCTCTCTTCAATCACGCAAAAAACCGTGCCCGGTTAACGGTAAGTGTGGAGTCCAAGAAAGTAAGGGAAAAAAAAGGGGGACCTAAAAGCGAGAATGACCGGGGTTTGGGATATCAACAGGCAAACTCAAAAAGTTTGAAAGGGTGAGATTGAGATATCTGTTTTACTCTTTTCAGGACTAGTTACAATTTTTTTTTTCTTTGATCGGTTAATCGCTGGAGAGAAGAGAAAAGGATGAATTGCGTAAGGGTCTAGATGAGTGTGCATGGGGCAAGTGGGGTGGGGTGGTGGTGGGGGGGAACGGGAAGAGAAGGGGAGGAAAGGTAGTGGGAAAGTCGGAGATAGACCCGAATGGGAAAATCATAGCGAACATGTGTAAAGTAGATGCGGTCGGTGGGTTAGTTCTTTTTTCTCCGCGGCGTCAGATATGGGATATATTGTATGTTGTGTGTAGTTTTGCAGAGGAATAAGGTAGGAGAAAAGACACTGCTATGCAGACTATGTAGCGCACAAGCTGGTGGAATATAGCGAGTTCATTTGATATAGTAAGCCGAGCTTTCTATGGGAATAATGTATATGTGTGGTTGATGAAACCGTTGCGCGGGGGGGTTAAACGTATAACCACCCATTATCTAGTCTCTCTGCGTGGAGACAAACAAGAAAAAAAACGGCATCTAAGATTGAGAAATGAAAGAGAGAGAGAGAGAGAGAGAAACAAAGAAACGCGCTAATTTTTTGCCGTCTTGAAAACGTTGCGCGTACATGCGTTTGTTCGTTAGCCAAGTAGGTGACGCCTAAAGAGAAAAAGAGAAGAAAAAAACCCCTTTCAAAGCTCACTGCATAAGAATGTCCGAATCTCAGACACATATCACATAGTGTTGACACGCATCCTGTTCTGCGTCGTCCGCGAAGAAGCCATGCGACGCTTGACACTCTCGGGCGCAACAGCCATGGTGATCCTGAACGTGTCTCTAACCCGGGT